GCCATAGGTATAGGGATTAGGATTACAACACATTTTTTGGGGGGAGGGGGCAATTTAATACATAACAGTTGTTGTTAGTTGCTGTTGACTTTATTTCAACTCATAGTGACCTCATGTATATTGTATAGAACTGCTTCCTAAAGGGTTTTCAAAGCAGATCACTAGGCCTTACTTCAGAGTCACCTCTGGGTGACCACCAATCTTTTGGTTAGTAGTGTAGCACTTAACTACTTGTGCTATCCAGGGACTCCAACAACTATGTTAGATAGGGCAATAGATGTTAATATAATTCATTTTAGTTAAACAAGAATAGGATGGCCTAAATACAAATGAGACAAAAAGCCAGAAGGAAATTTCAAATACATGTATTTTTTATGCTACTTTTCACTCAGATACAAGGGTTGAGTTAATAATCATACTTTTCTGTTGAGGGCCCATTATCATCATTGCTCTGTATGAAGGCCCTTCCCTTAAATATTACACACACATAAACCAAAAACTCACTGACATCGATTTGGCTCCAACTCATAGCAACCCTCATTGGTTTCCAAGGCTGTAAATCTTTAAGGAAGCAGATTGCCTTATCTCTCTTCCACAGAGCTGCTGATGGGTTCAAACCACCAGCCTTCTGGTTAGCAGCCAAATGCCTTAACCACTGTATCACCAAAGCTCCTTATATACATATATGTAACTATATCTAAGGGGCTCTGGTAGCGTGGTGCTTAAGGCACTTGACTGCTAACCAGAAGGCTGGCGGTTCAAACTCACCAGCCACTCCTCAGAAGGAAGACTGGGCAATCTACTTCCGAAGTGATACCACCTTGGAAACCCAAGTAGGGGTCGATATGAGTCGGGTTCAACTCGATGTTGTGTAACAACAACAACAACAGCTATATCTACATATATAAACCAAAAAACCAAACTCACTGCCATTGACTTGATTCCAACTCATAGCAACACCCAATGGGTTTCTGAGACTGTAAATCTTTACACAAGTAGATCGCCCCATCTTCCTTCCACTGAGCAGCTGGTGAGTTTGAACAGCTGACCTTCTGGTTAACAGCCAGATGCCTTATCCACTATGCCATCAGAGCTCCTTACGTATATATCTATGTACATGTATTTACATGTACATCTGTCTATCTCTGTCTCTATAGCATCTATACATTCTTACACTCAGGAAGTGATATACACTCAGGAAGAAGATATATATTCTTGCACTTGGGATAAATCTTACTGTAAGATTCTGAAAAACACACTGTGGAATTCTGTTATCTAATTTTCATTTGGGATTTTTTTCTTTTTTTTGATCTGGGTTCATAAGTGTTTATACTTTCTTTTCTTCAGTAATCCTTATTTTGTTTTTGATCAGGATTACAGTTCTTACAAAGTAAACTGAGCAACTTTCACTCTTTTACAGTTTGTGTAAGATAGAAATTGACTATCTTAAGAGTTTATTAGACGTCAAATATAAAACTATTTGATTTCATACTTTTTTGGAGGGGACAGATAGTCTCTAACTCTCATTTCAGTTTCTTTGATACATATTGGTTTGTTGGCACGTTCTATTTCCTCTTGCAAAATTTTGACACCATGTATGTTTTAGAAGTTTATCCACTTCAAGCTGTCTTTCAGATAACATACAGTTGTTGTCTTAGGTTGGGTTCTCTAGAAAGCAAAACCAGTGAAGCTTATATATATGGAGAGAGAATACAACCTTACTGTCATAGTTGTTCATAATACTCTTATTTAATAATACCTTTATTGTATCAAGAGTTATTACCACTTTAGAACAAAAACTTTTCAATGCTAAGAAGTTTCCTTCTATTTCTAGGTTGCTGAGTTTTTCCTGTTTCTTTGTTAATAATCATACCTAATGCTGAACCTTCAAAAAGTTTTTATTTCTTGCATTAAACAAAATGTTATAAATGTTAAAATATGATTCATAATACGTTTGTTTTTTTAATCTTTCCTGCTTTTAATTTTGTTAATTTTCTTTTTTTTCTCTATATTTAGTTGATTTCTGTTCTTTTACCTAAATTTTCTTCTTATTGGAGTTGAGTGGCTATTTCCTTTTCTTCCATTTTTTCCCTTTGGTTAAGTGAGTTTTAATAAATATATTTCTTGCAAGGTTTATTTGAGTTCTACATGCTTTGACATGTAGTAATTTGAATACAATTAACTTCTAGGTATTTGTTTTCTGTAAGTTTCACATGTTAAATCCTAAACAAAATAAAATAAAGTAAAACTATCATAAGTGACAGAAGGGCATCGCATTTTGGTACAAATAATGCTGACAAGGTCAAGTCAACACACTCATCATAAGTATATATGTACTTAGAAGCTCTGGTGACGTACTGCCTAAGGCATTTGACTGCTAACCAGAAGGCTGGTGGTTCAAACCCACCAGCCACTCCTCAGAAGGAAGATTGGGCAATCTACTTCCGTAGTGATACTGCCTCAGAAACCCAAGGAGGGGTCGGTATGAGTTGGATCCAACTGGATGCCAGTGAGTTTGGTTTGGTTTTTATATGTGCAGTTAATCCACCTTAAAATATATCAGAGGACATCTGATCAAAATTCATGTGAAAGTATATAAATCAACATTGTTGAAGGATATTTTAACACATGCTAGCTAGGGGAAGGAAGATAGGGCAATCTACTTCCATAGTGATGCTGCCTGGGAAACCCAAAGAGGGGTCGCTATGAGTTGGGGCTGACTCGACGGCACAAAACAACAACAACAACAACAACTAGGAGTTCTGGTGGCGTAGTGCCTAAGGCATTTGACTGGTAACCAGAGGCTAGCAGTTCAAACCCACAAGCCACTCCTCAGAAGGAAGTTTGGGCAATCTACTTCTGTAGAGATACTGCCTCGGAAACCCAAGGAGGGGTCGTTATCAACTGGGTCTGACTCAGTGGCAGTGAGTTTTTTTTTTTTTTTTTGGTTTTATTCAGAAACTGAGAAATCAAGTACAAAAGTAAGCAGAGATATTGAAGAGCTGAACAATACAATTAATGGCCCTGAGCTTTTAGAAATATACTCAACAGGCAGAGAACGCATTTTCCTTTTGAACACACATGGAACACTTAAAAAATTAATCCACCTTTTCAGTCATAAAAGAGGGCTCATTCAATTTCAAAATAACACTACCATAGAAATCATGTTCTATATCCCTAGTGTATTAAAGTTAAAAACTAATAACAAAATTTTAACTATGAATTCTATATATTTGAAAGCTACTAATACAGTGCTATGATAAGTTTTGTTTGCTGAGGGTGAAGACTTGAGATACTTACCGATAAGGATGGGGATTGCAGCCTTCAGGATGGATTACACCTCAACTTGAAGAAAACAAGAATCTTCACAAATGGACCACTGAGCAGCTTCATGATAAATGGAAAGAAGGTTGAGGTTGTCAGGGATTTCATTTTACTTGGATTAGCAATAGATGCCCATGGAGGCAGCAGTCAAGAAATCAAGTGACATATTGCATTGAGCAAATCTGCCGCAGAGGAACTCTTTAGAGTATTAAGAGTAAGGATGCCACTTTGAAACTGGGGTACACTTGCCCTGGTCATGGTGTTTTCAATAGCTTTGTATGCATGTAGAGCTGGACAGTGAACGGGGAAGATCACAGAGGAATTCATGCATTTGAATTGTGGTGTTGGTGAAGAATATTGTGTGTGCTGTTTGCTGCTAGAGGAAAGAGCAGTTCTGTCTTGGAGATGCAGCCAGAGTGCTCCTTGGAGGTGAGAATGGCCAGAGTTTGTCTTTCATACTTTGGTCATGTTCTCAGAAGAGACCAGTTTCTGGGGAAGGATATCATGCTAGGTACAGTAGAAGGTCAGCATAAAAGATCCTCAATGAGATGGACTGACATAGTGGCTGTGACGATGGGCTCAAGCATGGCAACAATCCTGAGGATGGTGCAGGACTGGGCAGCGTTTTGTTCTGTTGCACATATGGTGGCTATGAGTCAGAACTGACTTGACAGCACCTAACAACAACACAACCAACAACATTATGTTTGGGTTAAAAATAAATTGTACAGGAAACTAAAAATATTTAGATCATGATAAAAAGAAAATATTACCTGTAAGAATGTATGTAATAGAAAGGGACAAGGTTGTGGTGACTTCTTGGCCATAGCCAGCAATGCAGAGGGAGTGAGTAGTCTGACCTGTGGGCTTGGGACCATGGTCCCAGGGGACATCAAGCTCAATTGGCATAACATACTACACAAAAACATTGTTCCACATCACGCATTGGCGAGTAGTCACTGGGATTTTAAAAGCTTGCAAGCAGCCATCTAGATTCAACGATGGGTCTCTCTTCATCCAGAGCAAAGAAAAATGAAGAAAACCAAAGATGCATGGAAACAATCCAAGGGACTGGTAGACCATGCAATCCTCAGCCTATATGACCATGAGACTGGAAACTAGATGGTGCCTGGCTACCACTGTCAACCACTTGGAGGGGGATCTGTGTAGGAGATCCTGGATAGAGTGGGAGAAAACTGTGGAACAAAACTCAAAATCATAAATAAAAAAGACAAGGTTTGCTGAGGAAACCACTGAGATTACGGCTCCTAGCTGCTCTTCAGGTCTGGAACTGAACTCACACCTGTGGCTTCCAGCCAAATAAAAGACAGGCATATGGGCTGAACATTTATATCAGGTAGATACACTCCTTGGGGAGAGCAATCACGGGAGAACAGAAGGGCAGTGTATGCACAGGGAGAGGGCTCAGGGGTTAGGACACAGGAAGAGGTAACTATGGGGAGGAAGCGGGAAGAGAGCTGTTACATTGTGGGGAATTGCAATTGATGTCATGAGACAAAAGGGTATGAAATGGTTCCGGTAAGGTGGCAAAATAGGCAGAAAGACTGAACAGACCCTCTTCAACAAAGAAAAGGAGAACCAATTAACACAGATACAGAAGACAATCCTGGACCCCTGAGCCTTGAAGGGAAGGATATAGAAGTGGATTAAACGACAACTAGCAGAAGAATTTTCATGAAAACACCAAAAAGGAGATATATGGAGCTGCAGTCTGGCAGTGGTCCTGACAGCACAGACAGCTTGGATATGGCCGAGTGGTGATAAGACCTAAGAATTAGCCCCAAAATTGGCCCTGCTAGCCAGGGACTGCACAGAGGACTATGCTGGTGGATGGGGAATAAAAGGGAAAGCAGCAAAGAGGACCACGGGCTGAGCTGTGGACTCTTGTCTGTCCAGAGGTCACAGCCAAGGATAAACAAGCACCAAGAAGAGCCTGACTCACCCTTGGCTGCTCTTCACAAACAGAAAACAGAGATATAAATACAATGATGCCACGATGTCTCCGAGACAGCAGACCATCACAGTCCAAACAAAGAAGCAAGATAAAGTGGTAGAAACAAGGGA